AATTAAAAAAGCTAAATTAATGGATAAAAACAACAGCTCATCCGAGTTACTATCCAGTGTTAATTTATCTCTTGGAGATCTTCCCTCAACCTCTGGTTCCAACTCTCAAGTTAACTTTGATTGTGATTATCCCTCTGACTCTGAATCAGAACATTCAATTGTGTATTACCCTGGTCGATACGCTAAACCACCGACGAAAACTTATCCTTGTTATAATATCGATTCTCGATCTAATTCTCCGTGTGTTTCAAATTCTACTAAGAATCAAAAAGATTCTCTTCTCAAGACTGTTTCTTTCACTTCTACCGAAGTTCATGTTAATTCATCTCTTAAGAGATCATCATCAATTGAATCTTTAGATTCCAACTCATCTACTTTGAAATTAAGAAGACCAAATATCTCAGATATGGAGACTCAAAAACACGTTCGTTTTTCTCAAGAATTGGAATCAACTAATTATCCAAATCGATACCCAAAACCAGGCGAATTTCCTGGTGAACCTTATGTTATTCCTGCTCCACTTCCACTCTGTGAACTTCCATCTCATTTATCAATCGACTCATACAAACGAATCAAACAATTAGTCGCCATTAAGGCTTCAGGTTTTAAAATCATTTACTCTCAATATGAGAAAGTTATTAGAGAAAAAATCTTTCTGAATCTCTATCAAAATCAATCTATTTATTCAATTCCTATTCCTAAGATTCCTAAAGGAATATCTAAAGCCTCTGTTATGCACGAAAAACTTGATGAATTTAGCAACCAAATTCGTTGTCTGTTCTGTGAACACATAGTGTTAAGTCCAGTTGAATGCAGTTCATGTCAAAATTGGTATTGTTCAAATTGTGCTCTTTTTACTCAACAATTAATCCAAATCCTGAAATTGAGTCCGATTCTGCAATCAAACAAATTCATTTGCTTTTACCCGAACTGTATCAAAACCTTTGCTGCTCTGGATGATTATCCAACTTTTGAAAAAGTTTCTTATTGTGAAAATTATATCAACTATCGAAACTGTAAGTTTATGTGTCGCTACACTTTGTGTCTCAATTACTTCAGTCCGAATCTATTGGCTCAACATGAGAAAGAGTGTAGACTTGGTTTATTCCGTGAGGAAATCGATCTCGATTCAATCGACTGGTTCAAAAAAGGTTCTAATGTTGAACGCTTATCAGCCATCGCTCCAAAGCGCCTGATGAATTTTATCCCTCAACACATTCGTTCAGCTCCTCAACCACGAATTACCTATTCGACTCATGAATTTAACTTTCAGCAAAAGTTCGAATTGTTTGCCTGCTTACTCTACAATAGAGAAAATAATCCTGAGGATCCTCATCTTTCTCGTTCAGCTATTCGCTCTCATGCAAATTTGAAATCTGGTTTTTGGACTTCATATCATAAGGCATTCGATCCTACTACACCTTTGGCTGAAGAAGAAGATTTTCTGAGACAAATTGGATTTCCACCCGCTGTTTCCTGCGATCCCGCTCCCTCTCGTCCTCATACCATTAAATGGTGCAACTTTAGGGACAAAGTTCCTCATTATTTACTCGCTGATAGCGAAGAATGGATCAAATATTCCGAAGGACAAATTTTATTAGATTTACCTAAAGATCGAATTACCTCTTCACCTGATGCTGGGCATCCCGTTAACCCATTTACTAAAATCAATCCCTTATCCCGATTGAATCCTGATGATCAAAAAGTTGTTCGTGAAAATATCAACAATTGGTTCCCTTATTCTCTCATTGAATTTCATGAAACTGAAAAGTTACAACAACAACTGATCAACATAAACTCTCTTACCGTTCTAATAGGCGACAAAAGCCACAATGGTCTTTAATGATATTGTTAAGACTGAATTAGAACAACTCAAACCATCTCATCAAAAATTGATTAATCAAAATATTACCGAACATCCTGATAAAATGAACACCTATTCTATCCACGCTGCTTACGTTCGTATCACGAAAACAACTCAAAATGGTGATCGTGTTTTGGCCCCACATCCAGTATGGATTGTAATTGTCGATGGACAATGTCAAGTCGTTTATGAAACCTTGGTCAATTATCGTGCAGTCAATTATATGGATACTCGTTATCATGGACTTACCATGAGCGATATTAAGTTTGGAAAAAACTTTTCCCATGTTCGAGATCAAGTTATCACCTATTTAGCCTCAGCTAAATATATCATTGGCTCTGGATTAATCAACTTATTCAAGTCACTTGATTTTTCCTCATGTGAAATAGATGGACTCAGATCTAAATTAAGAGATGTCACAATCTATTTCTCTCCTTATAGAAATTCCCCTGCTTCTCTCTCTCTTATCTCTTTCCTAGTTTTCTCTGGATATGCTATTCCTGCTAAAGCTCATTCCCCTGTCATTGAATCAATTACCTCCATGAGACTTTATATGGGATTCTGGCAAGAGATAGAAATAAAAGTAACTGCCACCGGACAAGGAATCCACAATCAATCACTGAATCGATATGTTCGAAACAAGAAAATATCGCAACTTCATGAAAAGTTTTCTGCTTTGGTTGTCGCTAAAAAGGCTCATTGGCCGAGAAATTGGTCTTATTTCCACCATCATGAAACTATTCCTGAATATAGTGATTACATGTGTGTTACTCCAACACAATCAACCTCATCCACTCCGGATTTCCCACTCAATTCTGTCCAAGTTACACCAATCAAATCACCACCACCATCATCACCCAAATCATTCAATGATAAAAGAGCCTCAGGCTCCAAATCTTCATCATCTTCATCATCTTCATCATCATCAACCACTTCTAATTCCCATTCATCTGAGAAGTCAAAATCTTCTCAATCTGATCATAAAAATTCACCTCCTCCATTTACCTTTGGTAATCCACCTGACAATGAACATTATGTTCCTACTCAATCTCCACCTAACTCAGTCCGTTCATCACCAATACCCGATCCTGATACTATTATTAACTCTCAGAGTTCTAATAACCAAGAAGTTTCCCAAAGCCCTCGAAGGATCCAAAGTCGAGTTCTAATGAACTATCTTCATCAAAAACCGGGGAACTGAAGGGTATAAAAACACGGAATCCATCAGAACTCCAATTGTATCACTTCGATGATCTTTTCCCTGATTATTGAATAATTTTATTCAATTCCTTCATTTATCTTTTCCCATTTTCTAAAACTTAGTTTTCTTTAATTTTCATTTTATTCATATTAATCTCTTTGCTTAATTAAGCTAATCAATCTTTTATGCTTAATCTCTGTATCACTAAAGTGATCTAATTGTTTAACAGTTTAACCAAAATTCCGTTAATTACCATTCAATGGTCTCTTCTTAAAGTACCAAAACTTTGGCCAAATTAGAAAGACTTTGATTTTCTTTTCTTTCTCTTCCTTTCTTATCCTTTTAGCTTTAACAAGCCTTTTACCTTTCAGAGGTTAAAACTTGTCTTATCATCATCATCATTACAAAGAAGATGATTTTGGCGCGACAGTATTGTTCACTTGCTAATCTTATCCTTGTCTATGATGATCACTAAAGTGATAAAACGTTAAATTTTTCCCTTTAACTATTACTAATTATGATTATTAATCATCTTCCCCAATTTTGTTTTCTTTATTACTTTGTAATCTCTTCAACTAATCCTCAGTTTAATGCCTTCACTTCAACTGTTAAGTTCAAGTATCTCCATGTTAAACTCAATTTACCTTCTCTGTTTCTATTAAGTTCTCAATAAAGTTCAGTTCATTTTAACCATCACTTAGTGATCTTTGTTCAATAGAATTGATATTCTAATTGAGAATAATCCTGAAATTACTTGGAACAAATCTGAATTTGTGACAGATTTATCTCCTGATTCCCCATCCGTTGGTTATAGTTAATCTCTCAGAGATATTGTGTCTCTATCTCATTCTGTTGCTCAGAATTTCTCCCTCAACTTAATCAACAAATACTCACATGACCATCTCAACTAATAACTTAAAAACTTTTTCACTCCCAAACAATAAGTCATATTTTTTTGGCATCTTCCATTTTTATGAGTTATTTTTTCATCTCCATCATCATTTCATTGTAACTTTTGATTTCAACTCATCCCACAAGAAGAGCAATGGAAATGGTGATAGAAATGAATGTTTTTTTTCACTTTAAAACTTTTCGTTTTGAAGCAACGAGAGAGTGGGAGTGTGAAAGGTTGGCAATGGGAAAAAGTAGTAATAGTTGTATAAGTTATATGCGAGCGGGGATGATAAGGTGAGATATCAAGTTGGAAGATGAAATTTCTTGGCAAGTTGTGAACAAAAAAAGAGGAAACCTAAAAGTTGATACATCTTCAAGATGTATACAATGAGGAAGATGATGAAAAAAAGATGAGCATGATATTAGAAATGATGATGATAAGACAGTGAAGATAGTGCAAAGCATTTATATCAATAGTTGTAGGAGGAGATGTAGACGAAACTGAAAGAAATTTATAAAATAATCATGATAGAATCAGAGTAGGAATATAAAAAAGAGAAGAAAAAAAGTTCTCAAACAATATTTTCTCTCACATCTACAGAATATATGTGATATTTGATTGAGAAAAATATTACAGAACAACATCAATTTACTCTAATCCTTCAATAAGTTTGTCAAATAGATATGACATTATCATTGTTGATGTATTTCTCATCCTTTAACAATATTCATCATCTTTTATCATCTTCATCCTTTTTCTTGTGACTTTAAGATTATAATTCTTGCATAATGCATAAGTTTCATTCTGAAAAATGATAAACAACTAGGATGATTATCGTATGTGCGATACAAGTATTAGATTGAAAGATGGAAAACTCCAACTACTCAATGAAAATCCAATCTTGACAAAGCAAAAATCGTCATCAAAATAAAAATGATGGAAAAATAAACAATCGAATCAACAAAAAGTAAACTAATAGCAATCAAATGAAAGACATTTCATATCAGTTGAATCCATTAAGTTAACACTGTGCACAATTAACTATGATTAGTTCATTGATTTGAAAGATTAGGTTAACAAGTTGATCTCAATGATTATCAAAATGACAGAGATATTAATACAAATGATTCACCCTAATTCCTGAGTTTAGCTGAATCAGCTGATCTCAAGCTAAATCATATCTTTGATCTGATAAACAAATAATGAGCTGTCATTATTATTACTACAGAAATCGTAGTATTTGTCAGTTTACTTTAACCTAAATCCATTAATTAACTCAATCATCATGTTAAATAATGATGATGATAACAATTTAAATCCTTAGTTATGAGGATTAATAATCAACTGTATTAACAGTTATGTATCTTTATGATTACCAATTCAGTTTAGTGTTTACTTTTCCTATGCTGAACTCTGCAAGATTTAGTTTTTTTTTTACCTTCACCAAATGCAATTAATTAAACAATTAACAATTACCTTTAATCAAGTAAATTGACTGAGGTTGAATTGGGAAATGTTAAAGTAAAAAAATTGATCAAGTAAACACTTTGATAAATTATTTCTGATTAAATAAACTAATCAGTGAATAAAATGTTAATGGTAAACTCAGTTTATTTTCAACGTTTTAATTAAGTTAATTAGTTGAATTTCAAGTTACTATCCAATTGTCATCAAATATTGTTTGATGATTGTTCTAATTGTTAGTTATTCTAATTACTTTATGTAATCACTAATTGGATTATGATAGAGGAATAAAATTTTTCCATCTCTCTCTCTCTCTCTCTCTCTATTCATGATTATCATTCACAGAGAATTAATTTATTTCAACTGATTGTTGTTCTGTATTCTGTTGACTTGTACATCAAATTGAGTAAATTAATATTAATTTTGTATCTTCTAATTAAACTAATCACGGTCATTATGTAGTTTAATCATGTATCTCAAGAAGATATGAGGATTAAATTAAATCTTTATAGTTAACAAATTTCAGACAATTATCTCAATTATTTCAGTCTTTATCTGAAATAATATCATATGAATAAGGATCATGATGATTCAAGTAATTGCAAAAGAAACACTGATTATGATTGATTGTTACAAAAAATTAACAATCAGCTAATGTGAAACTTGTTGATTGTAGATTTTAATTATTATGATACTTGAGTTGTTGGCTGAATAATTAATTTGCAATCATACAATTTGTCACCAACTTGTTTTAAGCAATTAAAGTTTTAAATGTCTGAACTTTATTCACAGAAAATCTATTAATTATGACAACATGATTCAGTTTTATCTATGAATTGATTCATTAAAAATTCAAAAATCGTTTGGTTCAAACAGGGCGATAAAAAACTCAGTTTTCAGTTGGAATCCATGAGTAGCTGAGTTTTCATTTAATCTGACATTTGTTCATCATGAGATATAAATGTGAACGTCCATGAAGCATGATTGATGAAAATAGCAACAGAATCGTAATAATAATTCAGTTATATCATGAAAAGTAATATATACTTCTGGTTGAAAATCTGGTTACTAATGATCACCATGTTGGTCAAGAAAGTTGAGTGTATGAATATTATTAATAGAGAATCAGCTTGTAAGGAAAAGTTATCATGATTAAAACTCATTCGTATCAATACATATTTCACAATTTATTCACATCAAATGAACTTGAAATTATAAGGAAAATGTTTCATGAAAGCAAATTCATTTTCCGACTCAATTCATTTAGTATCAAGTAAACATGATAATAATGAGCAATCAGATAATGAAAATCAATATGCAATCAATTCACTCATCCTTTTGAACATGATAATTCATGTGAGCTCATTGTATACAAATATCTAATGATAAATATATTGATAATAATATTTTCCCAGAAAACTTAATGATAACTGTGATTTTAATGGTGAAAATCAGATGATATTTTGAAATTCTGTTGATTATTTTTATTGGTGTTGTAAAAAAGATCAGAGGAAAATGTTTACTTGCTATTATAGCAAATCTTTGATAATAATGTATTGATAGGAAATCGTATGCACAGAGATGGATATTCATTCTGTATTAAACATATTCATTCATCTGTAGGTATACTCTCAGAATAATAAACAATACGAATTTTTTTTTCTTCCTCTTACTCTTCTCTCTATCATCATCATTTTCATCATCTTATCTCTTACATCCCATGTCACGAGTATAAACCATTAGCTACCAATCATTAAGGTTTACTTTTGGAAATACTGGTTTACCATTAGTATACTTTTTAGGTTCTAATAGTATTCTCAGAATTTGATGAATGAACAGACTGGATGGAAATAAGAAGAGACCGAGAGAGAAAAAAGTTCTAAACAGAGAGAAATTGTTCCATAAACTGAGTTGATGAACCTCATGGTAAATTCAATTCTTAAAGGCTCATAGATTTAGATTTGAATGGTTTGAAATTACATTTTAATCACAATCAAGTTCATATTGAAAATTTAATTTTCTGTTTATATAAAAAGTTAATCAGATATTTAAGATTTTAAATGATATCATTATCATCAAGATGAATAGATAATGTTGAGTCTTAGCAATTTCGTTTAGTTTTTTAAAATTAAATTCATGCAAATATTGGATAACAATGGATTAGAATTAGAGAAAAGTATTTATAATAAATGAATTATAATCGAAAATAAAATCACAATATTCATGGAATTGGAAAATTAAGAAATTTTCTCTTATTCCACTTTATTCATATTCTAATTCTCTATTCAATTTTTATTAATTCTATTAAATTAGAAACATAAGATTCTATCAAATATTCAATCACAATTAATTAAAAAGAATCATAACCAATTCATGAAACGATTACTGAATCAACACAATACTTTCAATGAGTAATTTCAATAAGCTCATGAACTTTTTCATTCAAAGTCTAAATTATGGTTAATATTAACATGATCATAATAATACAATAACCAAATGAATAAACATGATTAATCAAATGGTGAACATGATCATCCTTTAATTAACTTTTCTTCTAGAATTTGATATTGATAAATTTTTTACCTTCTCATATGAATCATGATAATAGCAGTTCTAATGATAGGATAACAGATAATGATGAAATAACGATCCAATAAACAAGGAACCATCAAAGTAAATGTATTATCTACCTTAAATCCTACTCACAGTTTTTTCAATCAACTAATTTACTGTTATGTCATTAATTTTAATCAAACTGTTGATCAAGTGAATTAAAAAATTTTCCTAATACAATGTATGTTTATTGTATTATTATTATCATTATATAATCATCATTATCATCATGGTTGCGGGATAAATTAAGGTAATCATGGTGATGTTAATGTTGATCATTAATTTGATTCAATTTATCTGGTTGAATGAAAAAAAAAGCAACATCATTTTTAGATTTAAAGTTAATAACAATTTTATCTCATTAGTTTTAATCAGTGATGAGAAAATTTAATCAAAAATAATGTTTTAAATTATCATTATTCTGATAACATTTTTTATATCGTTTTTCAAACATAAAACTATTCACATGATCAGTAGATTTGATGAAATGATTACAAATCAATTAGCTAATCCTAATCTGTAATCACTGATAATCTTGAGCTTCTAGCAATTTACATCTATACAATTAGGTGTTTATCTAATTGTCAAGTTAATCATTTTCTAATTCTGAACATGGTTAATTAAACTGGATTCTGTATCAATATTAATTCAATTGTATTTCAAGTTATATAAATTAAACTAATTCGGTTTTGATGACAGAGGGAGAGACAGTTTTTTGTCTATTAACATTTAATTGTAACAAGTTGATTAGTTTATTTTGTGTGTGTGTGTGTATTTGATGGTTAATGAGGGATGAAAATTGTTCAAGTTAATGAATAAAGTTAAATTAATGTGTATAAATTGTAAGATAAATTTTAATGATGATAATAAATGAATTCTTGTTATTAATACATGAAAGTTAGTTTGTTCATTGGGTGGGGTAGGAAATTCAACTCGATATTCAGTTTATATACTCTCATGATACTATTGATTGAAATTGGAGAAAGAAAAATATTTTCAATTCTAAGTTTTACTCAATGTTTTTCCATGATAATTACGGATTTAAGATCGAACGGACTTTAAAGTTATTGAACGAAAGCTCGATAAACTTTGGTCTTTTTCGTGGTTTCAACTATTCGGATATTTTTCCCTGAAATATTCTTCTTTTTCATGTCTATTGAACTCGAATGTTAATAATATTCTGCAAGTACGAACTTTTCGATTTTTTTTCACTTCTCTTTTATCATATATCTTTCTTTTATCAGGATTATCTTTTCTTCCTCTGTTGTTGTCTTGATATTTATTTTTGAATGTGAAGATGAGGATACCTGCTCTGAATTAAGATGAAGTTGGTTTTATATACTGAATGAATGATGAAGATGATGATGACAAAAATGACGATGATGAAGTCTAGATGATGCTTCAGTCAACCAAGGTAAATGTTGAAAAGTTTCAAGGATGAATGAACAAGATTCAAAAGGAAAAAGAAGTAAAATAAAAAAATCGAGATTCAACATGAATAAAAGCAAAGTGTATACACTTTACTCTAATCATCGTCATCATCATCATCTTCATCTTCAACTTGAGGGGGGAAAAGATAAGATTCACGGAAGAGATGAAGATAAAATGACCAAATGAGATGGAGATTCCAGTTCGAAGCATAAGGAAATCATCTTAAAGATTCCAATGATATCTATGGATTATACTCAGAGAACAGACTGTGTTTGTAAATGGAAATTTAACTTTAACATTGGACAAGATACAATAAAGTTCTGATACATGTGACTAAAAAGAAATCGAAAAACAAACTTGTATAATTTACTAATAAAATGGTCAATAAACATGATACAAATTACATAATACATGGTATTGTTTTCTAAATAAGTTGAATATTTATCATGAGCAACTTGCTGGCCTGAGCTTGGTGTCTTTTCTGTGAACATATCAACAATCATAGAATGAGAATCATCATCTTTTTCAACATTATCAA